TCCACGCGAGAGAGAGAGAGAGAGAGAGAGAGAGAGAGAGAGAGAAAGAGAGAGCGAGTGAGAGAGAAGGGAGAGAAAGTAAATTTAAGTAACGCGTCAACAAAAAAGAATTATCGACTAGGGAATAACCAAGTTGAAAACGTCGATCGATGATCGATCTCTCGACAATAAAAAAATAATCGAGAATTCTTTCTTTCCCGTATCTCGTTTCAAAAAATCGATCACCGTATATCGCCTTACGATATCGCCCCCTCCCTCTCAACCCCGGTCCCCAGCTGTCGCCCAGTCCCGTGATGGCCGCTTGCGGCTAACCGAGTAAACAAAACAAGAGTACATACCGAAAAACACTCGAAAAACTCATTCGAATGAGTGAAGTAAATTCAAAATTTACTTTTACATCTCTATCTTTATTAACTCCTCATTATCTCTACCCTAGTCTAGCGTATAAATAATCGTATTGTTCTGTCACATTGTACCTGAAGAAATGAGGTTATAAACACTAGTTATAAATAAACACCATAGACTGGCGTGCGGGCGGATTTTCAGAGTTCCCGAGCCTGACTGAGAAGTCAGGTCATAAATAAACACAGATGAACGCAAGCGTAAGAAAAAGGTAACGTGCTTCGCACGCTCGACCATCCAATTTTGTGGCGCACATTTGAGATGATGGTGAACACAAGAGATCTTCCTTGGTGTACGATGCGAGAACATCCAAAGTAATATTCCCAATTTGAATCGAAGACATATAGAAGACATATTTCGCGCAGCCAAACTTTGGATTGGGAAAAAATACGCGAAGAACTCTGCGAGTGGTGTTGCAGCAAGAAAGACAAATGTGCTATTGAAAGTCATTCAAAAAAAAAAAAAGCGAATTCTGAACGAGTCTTGAAAGTGAGACAAATGGAAAGAAGTGCACTTGTAACAACAAACACAATGCGTTTGATAGACTAACGGCGAATATCTGAAAGAGATTTCAAAGCTTTACAAAAGACCTTTACTGAACTTTACTGAAGCAAAATTGAGAGAATACAGAAGCAATGCCTACCATAGCTAACTCCTCGCTCACCTACGAAATTCTCATGTACTTGAACTCGTTCTACTTCGGCATGTTCGCGGTGTGCGAGTTGAGCATGGGTCTGTTCAAGGCCGCAAACCTGCCATCACCCGGAACGAACACCATGCTGACGGAATTTGCTCTTCTGCTCTTTCTGATGGTAACGGAAACTGGCAGAATCTACCTGGGCAGGCGAGGAAATTTAACCGAACGTGGACTGCCGATAGTATTGGGAATAGTTCTTACCATTCCCAGTTCGTTGGCGACGCTCTACTTCCTGCTCTGGCAGACGCATGTGCTCAGACTTGAGATGATTCTCTGCAGCATACAACTGGTTCTATTGGCCTCCGAGGTGGTCATTGCTATTCTGTGCCTTGTCTCTATCTACCGACCCGTACCTCTGGAGAAATAATTCTGTGCACCAAAGATATTGTACCTTTATTTTGTACCGTATTTCACGTCGTGTGATTAACAATCCGTTTTAAGTATTGTTCGTTCATCAAGAGGAAACACAAGATGCTCTCTTTACTTTGTGTCGCACAATGTTTTCTGCCATTTACACATTTATTGCTATTTATATAATATATGTTATACATTTATATATTTGAAATCCAATTTTACAGAAGATTAGGATGCAATATTTGTCTCGAATTTAATATAAACTTGCACTTTGCACCTGTATACCTGGAGTTTTATATTGCAACGTAGTGTTTTACCTCAGCTGTTTTTTTATCAATTCCAAGAAAATAAAAACTGATTATATAAACAAGTTAAAAATCTAATAGTTCCCCTTCTTCCCTTAATGTCGAATATTTATAAGTTTTACTAATGAAGTACATATTAGTTGTAATTGACATACTTTGTACACACGCTACTTACATCGGACTGAATCTAGTAGTTTGCAATTTTATATTAAACTACACAAACAGAAACAAATTTCTGTCACACATCATTTTAATTTGTTGCGTTTTCATATAAAAAAACAAAAAAATTGAAAAGGAATTTGGTATTTGGAGTCGGAAAAGTTGTTGGTTTTATTCACTTCTATGTAATCAATGTGAACTGCCATTTATAAATATATTTTCACATTTAAATACAAAGCAGTCAGATTTCTCTAAAAGAACAAAGCTAATGTAACAGTACAGTTTCTTTTTTTGTGTGTGTGTGTGTGTGTTCAAATGTCTTTCTAATAAAAAAAAGAAACTTTTGCCCGTACACATGTTTGTTCACATATATGCATTTATATCAAAATATTTTTTCTTAATAAAATGTAATAGTATATATGTGTGCAGTACTTATTATACTACATAATATAGTATAAATGTCAAAGTTACTTTTTTCACAAATCACAAATCTTTTCGAGTATCTGTCACTCAAAATATACTTTGTACTCATAAACGTACGTGTGAGCACAAATATATGATAAATATTTTTTTTTATCCTTTGTTTTCGTACAATTAAAATCTATCGAAGCCTATCGGGAATATAGTGGATAGATTACGAGAAAGGGAATTGATTATGGAAATACAGAATAAGATTTCAAGTTTCTTGAAGTAACTTGAAAATAGTTTCAGATTCAATTACAACGGCGAAATTTTATCCTGTAATCCATAGCAATTACAATAAATATTCAATAGAATTCTCTACGTTTATGTCAATATATATATATATATATATATACGTATATATATATATAATTTGTTTGAATTCCGCCTAAACGACACAGCTCTCAATGTCTTATACTACTCGCCGCGGCTCTGCGTCTTCTGATTGCGCGCAATCGATTGTTGCAATAAATTCGTAAAAATACTGAACCAAATACCAACAATATGCCGAATATTCCGATGACGGTGATTTCGTGATGATAGATCAAACACGACAATAATATCGCCAATCCCTGAAACAGACATCAACTTGCGTGCAACATGATCTCTTTTTCAGACAATTGTTTCTTTTGTTCGCACATTGGCGATTTATACGTACCTGACGAATAGTCATCATAATAACAAACGTAATTGATCCGAACTTCGAAATGGTGTAAAAGATATACAACTGGCCGCTCGCCGAGCAAATGGAGATTAGTAAGCAATCGATTATAAACCTAGGATACTGCGACAGAGATCGTTAATGTTAATTCTTTGTGCACACATACGCAATGTTAAAATCATCACAAAAATTAACGTGAACTAAATACCGTTGTCATAAAAGAGAATATTAGCGGAAAACTCGATTGTTGAAATAAGGACATCGCAGTCAATAAACAGGAAAACATATTAACAGCACACATCATTTGTACGCTCGTAACACCGTAGTCTACGAAAAGTGCATTCTGCCAGGTACTTGTAAAACTATCTAATAATAAGTAACCTCCCAGTAGAATAACACCGGACAGTGTTGTAGCTCCGTCTGAAAATAATTATTTATAATTAATTCCTTCTTTTTCGCTTGTAAAAAAAAAAAAACAGGTACGTGCTCCAAACGAGATATTACCGTTTTTACGATCAGCACTGTCCAGCATAAAGAGAGTCATGCCAATAGAAATAAGAATCGCTGTAACGTACTCGTAATATTCGTACGTTGTATGCGAGACTATTTTCCCCATCACCATGACCGGAATAATTTTCGAAGCTTTAGCCAGAACCTGCAAAACGAAAACACAAATAATGAGCGTGTATAGAAAATAAAAACAAATTTCTATGCTATATTTCTATAATTAAAGCAAGTTAAAATGATTGAAAAAGTCAATTGATGAAAAAGATAGAAAATTACAGCGTGTATGTATATGTGCAGTAACGTTTACCTGCGAGGGAAAACTAACATACTTCAAAGCCTCATATTGACACCAACTACTCATGATATTCGACAAAGAACAAAATGCATATTTGTACAATGGTGTTTTGTGTTGTGGTTGACGTCGAATAAGTAAATATAATCCTGACATAAGAAAGGCGAGAATACGATTTACGAACACCAGAAATTGCGAGTCTTGAAATTGCGCTTTGTTGCCAGAAGCATCTTCATATTCCTGTATGTTAAAAGAACATCGCTGATTATATGTGACCAAGAATGTTGTTTTAAAAATGTAAATAATCTTACAGTTATTGCTTGAAAAAATTAAAAACCACGCAAATGCAGGTATTGAGCACAGTTCTGATTGCGCAAAACAAATCATAAATTTTCACTTACAACAGACATCCTTTAATATTTGATCTATAAATAACAGAAAATTCAATACTTGAGTCATTATCTTCTCTTGTAAGTAGCCCCATGTAAGATAACTGATTTGCAGTCCAAAGAAACAATATATCAGGAGTAGAGCATCTTGAGTAAAAGTACGTTGAACAAGAGTGGAAGTATTAGGAGTGTACGAAGGTGAATCCAAGAGACCTGTCTCGCTATGTCCGACAAAACACGAGTGCGCCAATTTGGAGATACAACTTTTTCCTATACAAATAACACTTAAATTATTATATAGCGTCATATACACATATACATGCGTAATAGAAAAATAAAGATGTTACAATAAGTGTTTTACATAACAACAACACTCACCTTTTTTTTGAAAATATTTTGTGTAACGCACATATTTGTATATAAGGCAACCTGGCAACAATACAGTGGCATATCCCAATACGTTTAAACACAATCGAACGACCCAACTGTAGGTAGATGTCTTGAAGATCTCATCTTTGTTGTTCGTAAACAATTTGATGATCTCACTGGTTCCAAATATGATTGTGACTGAAAGTAGTAGCAGCAGGCTGCCAAAATATGCCTTCCTTTAATTAGTGTGCGACATGAACATGTATATTAAAAAAAAAACAATATTTAGAAAACTAAGAAAAACAATGTTACACTTGTATTTCTCAATCAAATATACAATTTGTATAACTTGCGTGCCAAAGAGAATATATAAAAAAGAAAAAATACATACACGTATACTCAGTTTATATATATTCCAAGTAACTATATCTAAAATTTGTTCTATTTGTTGCGTTAGGGTAAAAAAACAAAAATCATGGATTTTATTTTACTGTGACGTTGTCAACAACAACCAGCGTATTTCTGTATTAGCAACAAAAATCGGGGTAAACGCACCAAATCACAATGTCACCCGTGAAGTTGCCCATATTTTCTCTTTAAAAAAAGAGAAACTTAGAGATTAGAGATGAGTTAGTTTAGCCCATAACCTTCCGTCACGAACGTCTCCTTGCTTTGCCACTCATCTCATGAATATGCCGGGTACAGCCTGTGTACACAGCACACGCACACGAATGTTAATTTAGTTTAGATCAGCCTCCGTCAACCGTGCCATTGTGTTGCGCTTTATAATTAAAATTATCATGCTTAAAACACTGCAAATTAATCTTATCTGCCCGTTCCGTTCTATTGTATTTTTACATATCCGCACGATATTCCAATTGTCGTAAACGAAACTGCGCGGATAAGGAACATCGCGCGCGCGCGCGCGGAACACGTGTGTGCGCGTGTGTCGCGCGCGGGTGTGTGTGTGTACGCATGTGTGAGAGATGCGCGCAAGCGCGCACATCGGATTTGTTCTTTTTCGCGTTGTACGTGCGGCAACAAAAAAGTGCAAAGTGCTGAACCGGAAGTTGTGTTTTGCGAGAAGAAGAGGGAGGGATCAATTACCTTCCCTATGCGCGTCGCGTTTTTTTTTACTTCGGTTCAGTTCGGTTAACGATGGCTTCGATCGGTGGTTGTGTTACATAATTTTTTTTTTTTTGAATTCGGATTTTCGAAATAATTTCGATTTTTGTTGTTTCTCTCGCGAAGATCGCGGACAGAAAACAAAATTGTATCATCGCGATGTTAATTGCGAAAAAAAATTACGTAACGACGAACGGGAACGAATGCGGGAACGCAGCAGCGGTCCCGATGATACGAGAGAGAGAGAGAGAGAGAGAGAGAGAGAGAGAATCCTCCCACGCGCGCGTGTCACAGGTGCGCGCGCCGGGAAGAAGAAAACGTTCGCGCGCGTGCGCAAACGCGTATATATCCTGTTTGCGTGCAAAATGCAATAATTTGATTCGTCGTTAGAAACTTGCAAAAAAAAAAAATTCGCAAGACTCGAAGGACGCGAGAGACGCGAAGGTAACAAGCGAAATGTGTTACGCGCGCCCTCGCGAGGCGAGGCGCAGTAGGTTACTATGTTGCGCGCGCCTGTGTCTCTGAAAGGGGGAAGGGGGAAATAAAAAAAACCCATTCGAGAGAGAAGAGAATACAACACGTCGCGCGCTTTGCGCGTGCGCGCGCCGCGCAAATATATATGTATTCGCGCTCTTGCCACACCACCGTTAAAGAGTTTAACAGAGTGCGACACGCGTTACGTACGTACTGTACTGTACTTTACACACATACAACGGGTGGATACAACAACGCACACGCGTATGGCCGACTAACCCGGAGTCTGCTGAAAAAAAAAAAAAAAAAACATGCACGGGATCTGGCTCGGCGACTCGCGCAACTTGCGGTACAAGGACGCGCCGCCGCCGCCGACGCCGCTACTACCCTCTTCTGGTGGAACACCGGTTCAATTCTGCAAAACACGACAAAGAGGAGAAAGAGGGAGAAAGGAGTGACAAGCGGAGGAGCTTTTGCACGTGGGAAAACCAGCTCCTCCGCATCCTCTCTTTCTCTCTCTGTGTGTAGTCGTCGTTCTTTGAATAATAATTCAAAATCAATGTTTTCTCCGCAGCGAGAACATTCTCGTTCTTGCGTTTTTTTTTTTTTTTTTATCGTCTCGTTTTCAAACAATTATAATCAAAAATGTTTGCAAACGTTAAACTCTTCTAAACGACGATTTGAAAAAAAGAGAGAAGAGAGATTTACATGTGTGATAACGCGTTCGAGAGCGCGTTGAGTGAGAAAACCGCACGATACAATATTGCGTGATTTTTTTTAATTAAAAAGAACCGAATGCAAATTGATTGCGTTTGACATTCTCGCGGCGGCGGCGGCGGGAATTGAAAATCTCGGAATAATCTCGCAAAACCGGTTGACTTATATAGTCGCTATTATGTGTCGACAAAAGGAAGAAGGAAAGATGAAGGAAAGAAAAAAGACAAAGACACGGTTGTGTTCGCTCGTTCCCCTTCGTGTTTTAGCGGATGCTAAAACAAGTGACGCAATTGTAGAAAAATTTTACGTTGCTCAATCAGGCACAGAAGAAGACTCATAAAAGAAGCCGCGCAGAAGATCGCGCTCTTATGTTTTTTTTTTTTTTTTATGTTTTTTTTTATTCTGCCTCTTTTTTTTTTAACGACAAACCGTCATTGAGAAAATAGCGCGGCTAATAATCTTTTATCGGCGATGAGAGCCGACATTTCGTGAGAAAATAACAACACAGTTCTTTGTTCGAAGCATATTTTAAATTTTACCGACTGCGTTATCAAACGCTCGTCAACCATAGCCGTGAGCATTATTGGAATGGAAAATTAATGATCTAACAGCGATGACAGAGCGAACTTTTATGTAGCTGATGCACTCGCTCGGATATATTGAATCGCGCTAATAAAAATCGTGAGTATATATCATCGAGCTCTTCTCGGTTTTTTATATTATACGTGCGTTGTTATATTCAGAAGAACAACGAACTGATTTGAAGACACACATGGGATCTTGCTTGATTACGCTCGACAATTACGAATCAGACGAACCGAGAGTCAATTTTGAAACGCATCGCTAGTGATCCAATCACGCGTTTTTCACCCACATGTGCGTTTTTTGCTTCTTCTGTGTTTTGTATGTACCTTAAATAGGTTGTCGAAGTTACTCGTCTATTGATCACTATCAAGTTACTTCGTCACTCGGTCATTATTAAATTAAATAAAAAGTTATTTAAAAGTAACGAAGAGAGATTAAAAATTACTTAAAAAGAACGTGCAACTTAAAGCGCCATTAAAATCAATTAAATACACACGTGAAATTTTTCCACACATTTTTTATGTTTCTAATTATCTAGATAACAAATGTATAATTATAACAAATATAAAATTATATAACAAATGTAACTTTAACTATATTATAATTGTATACAATATTTATCTTAATTTTATTTTTATAACAATTATTTTAATTTTACATTATTATGTTTTATAAGTAAACTTCGCTTTTTTTTTATGTTTTCATAACCCGAGACTTTATTCGTGTCTGGAACAGTTTTTCTAAAGAAATTATTATTACGTTGATTTATATTTAACGAAGCATCTCATTATACATATAAATATATATATTTATGTTGCATAAAATATTGTATATAATAAATCTTCCGTTGTCATACTGGATCAAAATGATTCGTAATTTTGTTTTGAAGAGTAAAATATCTTTGAGATTGAAAATAATAATGATGTTACAGGAAGAAAAGATTAAAAAGAATTTATAATGATAATTTGGAGAAAGAAAAAGGCAGAATTTTAGTAAAGTTATGGGAAAAAAAACAAAAAAAGATTTAAAGAGAAAAGGAGAGTAGAACAAAAATAAAATTCTAGTCAGAACAAGAGAAGAGGAGATAGAAGCTGTAGAAAATTTTGATAAGGCAGTATATGCAAAAGAGAAGGGGTTTAATCTTTAGAATTGCAATGAAAGAATAGTATAGTAATGTGATATAATTTAATGTGGAGAGAACTTTCTTTAAAAAAAAAAAGTAATAATATGGTGTGTTGTACAGTGATAGTTAGATTAAGAATAAGAATAAAAAATCAAAGGAAAAGGATGGAACATGTGTGTGAGAATAGTAGGACAGAGAGAAGTTATTTAGATAGTTTATATAAATTTATAAATTTGTAAATTTGTAAAATTTTGTAAATAATAATGTAATTAGGATAAGATATATTGTATAGTTATAAGGGAAGAGGAGATGAAGGGAAGGATTTGTAAACCAAGTTTCCTTCTTGACCAAACGGCTGAAGTATTAATAAATATATATATATATATACTAATGTTGATGTTATCTGATATTAATTTCAAGTGTCTACAAATAGAGATACTTCCGGAGCGAGAGGAAGCGATAGGGCGTGTTTGGCAGCCGTCGAAGAGTCAAATTGACCCGAGTGTGACAAATGCGTCATTGTTGCTTCAAATTGAGTGGTTGTTTTTGTGGAAAAAAAAAGGTAATCAGAAAACAAAAACAATCATTTTCATACACAAATTGTTTTTTATTTTATTTAAAGTGTTTAATAAAGACAAAATGGCCGCAGAAGCACAACTGCTCACCGAGCGGCTAAGTGGTAAAATTGCGATTGATTTAAATTTATAAATTTATATATAACTCATTTTTTAAATATAAGATACTTTCTTATTGATAAACAATTATTTTGTATACTTTGAAAAAAATAAAAATGTAAAGTTTCTATATAAATATACATGATTTTTTCAAAAAATGTTCTCTCTCAATATGTAAAATAAATACTTGTTGTTGAAAGTTCCGATATAAAACTATTTTTTTTTTTTTTTATAAAAGTAGCATATCTCAAGAGTATCATAAATATCATCATAAATGTTTAGCTAAAGATATTAAAAATTGTAAAATTTAGTTTTTAATCAAACAAACTTTCGAAATTTCTTTTCTCAGAAATTGTTTAAAACGTGATATCATAAATGTTTTCAACTTTTTACAACAGAAATATATTCCACATTTGTTTAAACTTTGTCTCAGAATTTTGACGATTTAATTTAAAACAAATAGTTTTTAAATAGCAGGTGATTAAAAATTAGTTAGGTCAAATTAGTCGGGAAAAATAACGTGTAGAAACATACGTACATATACGTAAAATGCTAACATATTAATATTAATATTAATATTAATTTCAAAATGTACACACACACACACACACATAGCGATACTCGAACAAATATAACTCATATTGCTTTATTATCGACTCATTTATCTAGAAACGTTTTTTTTCCAGAAACAAAATGCAATTAAAAGTTTCTATTTCGTCATTTCATACATTTTATTCCAATGGTGTGGGAAAACTTTGGCCGGTGTGTTTTTTTTTTTTTTTCGTCCTACTTTGTTGCGCGGAATGGATCGCTTCGATTTTTTTTTTCAGACAACACCTCCTCGGATCATCCCAGGCTTTGTTCATCCAGCTTATTTATGTACGTATTATAAATATATGTGTGTGTGTATATATATTGCGCCGACACACTGCTCGTTGCGTACGCGCGTTTTATACACACCATGGGCGTGTAAATACGCGCTTTGACATTTTCCAGAGAACGATAAATCAGAGAAGAACGAACGATTTAAGCGCTTCTCGAGTTTAATCTACGATAATGCACAAATCCGAGTATACGTGTGTTTTCTCTTTTATTAGAGGCTTCCATATATAGGCGCGCGATAAGAACTTTTGTGTACGTGTACGCGCGTATACGCGCACGAGATTTTTCAAATTTTCCTTGTTCTATTTGTTGCGCACCTTTATCTTTTTTTATATTTTATTGCTTCGCGTTCCAAAACAATGTTTCACCTAAAAATAATCAAAATCAAAATCCGTGGTGGTGGTATCTGACGTGAGATACAAAAATCGTGACGAAGTCGTCACGCGATGACGGATTCCAGCGTGCGTGCGTGCGTGCGTTGCGCGCAAGAAGGACTTTGCTCTCTCAACTTGAGAGCGCGCATAATCACGCCTAACCTAGGGTGTGTGTATATATATTTGTCGCGCGCGCTACATTTATAGATCAAGGATAAAAGAAATCGAGAGCTATCTCGGCGTTGTGCGATCCCGTCGTCATTGTACATACGCGTCGCGCAATAACGACGACGATCGAAAGTCGGAGAAAACGCGCGCTATCGCGTAAAAAAAACAAAAAAAACAAAAAAAAAAAAAAACGCCGTAGCGGCTCAAAGGTCATCGATTGCTCGTCATCGCGCGCGGAGAAAGAATTGTTGAACAGCCATAGAGATAACGTTATATATTCGAGTTCTGAGAAGATGCTGCGGGGGGAATTCGAAGGGCACATTCAGGTTTCGTTCTTCAAGGCCTCGAAGTGCCTTTGAAGAAGAGCAAAGTACGCGAAAAGAATTTTATTGTAAAATATATGGGGCAAAATTCAAAAAGAAGAGAATTATGGCCTCGATATTTGATACAATTGCGTTTCGCTGTTCAACAAGCAGATAAACAGAAATGAGAGAAAAAAAAAAACTCTTGGAAGTGTAATTTCGCGTTTGGAACTGCGCGAGCAGTGTTTGGAAACGTAAGTGTTTCGAAAAAAAAAAAAAACGATTTGTGCCGCGTAATTTTTTATACCCAAGTAAATGTTCTAGCGAAACGTCACTTGGCGCGGCGATAACAATCGCGCGAGTTGCTGCGCGGTGTTGTTACACGACGTCGTAGCGCGACGATGACGCTTAAAAAAATTCGATCTAAAAAAAAAAAAACGCGCACCTTGCGGGACGCGAGCCGTCAAACAATGCAAGCGCGCACACCAAAAGGTTCTCCGTCGCGTTTCTCTATTTCTCTCCCCGCCGCCCTCCCCCCGTCCCGTCGTCGTCGTCACTTACGTAAGCAGATGCCCCGTTTCGCGATTTCCGAAGGAATCCGAAAGGTCCCGGAACTCGCGAGCACATCTGCCCGCGGTTGGTCGACCCGAACTTTTCACACACACACACACACACACACACACACTACCGAACGAACGACGGCGCCCGAACGAAGACACCCGCGGTGCATTCGGCTCGCTCCGCCACTGTTGAAACGGAACGTAAAAGAGACAGAGAACTGGTGCGACAAGAAAGAGAGAGAGAGAGAGAGAGAGAAACACAGAGAGTGCGCACGAGAAGTCTCTCGGAGAGAAAGAGAGAGACGAGGCGGCAGAGTCGAGCGCGACCGACGGGGATATCTCTCCCGCGCGCAGATCGGACGGAGACGCGACGAGAGCCTGGAGAGGAGGTGTAAACGCGCGCGCGAGAGGGTACACCACCACCGTACGGACCGGAGTCTCTCGCTCGCGGAGAGTATCACTCAAACCAGCTGGTTGGCAAGGGAGACTCCGCGCGAGCAGTCGCCAGTGAGACGCGGCACCCCGCGAGCAGCGCGTGTGTCAAAATTTTTTACGCTCGCTCGCTCGCTCGCTCGCTCGTGTTTCGTCCGTCCGTCCGTCCGCGTTACGTACGCGCGTAAAAACTTCCTTATTACACAGCAGCAGCAGCGCGCGCGGGATTTTATTTCTATATATAATATAATAATTATATATACGTGCGCGGCGTGATAGGTTCCCTTCTCCCCCTCCCTCCCCCCTCCTCGCGTATCCGCACAACAAGCGCAGTAACGTAACCATTGCTCCTGACTTTTTACTCGTCGGATTATTGTTGTGCCGTCGGTGGTGGTGAACGCGTACGTCCGCGAGAGCGAAGAGAGTCTCTGTTTCTCCGCCGCGCGCGGCACCTTTCATTCTCGGAACACACACGACACTTGCCGCCTATCTTCGTGTGTGAATCAAGCATCGTCTGCTGTGCTTCCACCACATCTCTTCGTTCCGTTCGTTCGTACGTTCGTACGTTCGTTCGTTCGTTCGTTCGTTCGTTCGTTTTTACGCACACACTTATCCGCGCTCCGTTCTTCTCTTCTCTCTCTCCCTTCTCTTCCCTCTCTCTTTCCGCCTTTCTGGCCTTCCCCCCTCCCCGGGAGTCTCACAAGGAGAGTGTTGGGTAGGCAGTAATAATTTGTGTGTGTGTATATATATATATATTATCCTCGCGCCTAGCGCGTGTGTGTGTGTGTGTCGCGCGCGCGTGTGTGCGCTCTGTCTCTCTATCTCCGTGTGTGCGGAGAGTACGTGCGCGCAACGAGCGAACCAAGATGGCCGCCGATTCAGGAATGGAGACGTGTCCCTCCCCAGAGATTGCGGACTCCAGAAAGCGGCCGCTCGACTGCGACGCGGAAAACGGGACGACCAAGAGATCGCACTACGGATCAGGTATTTCAATTGGGAGTCGTCAACCACGCGTGTCACGTCATTTACGAGCGTCCCGTCATTGGTGATTTTCGGTTCGGTTTCGCTCGCTCGCTCGCCTGCTTGCTCCGCTAGTGCTCTCTCGCGCGTTGCACCAATACTCGCGCATCTGATCGTCGACGCAATAATAAGCGACAACACATCCGTCTTTATCTATCTCTTTATTTCTTCCTCGTCTCGCTCGCGCCTAGTTTCCATCCACGTCTCTCCTTTTCTCTTTCCTTTTCCGTACTCTCTCTCTCTCTCTCTCTCTCTGTCTCTCTCTGTCTCTTCTAACTCCGTTTCGCGTGCACCTTTGACAATCTCGGGTTTACCCGCGCGCTCTGTTGACACAGCTCGCGCGCGATCGACGTTCCCTTTCGTTTCCCACTTCTCTCTATCTCTCTCTCTCTCTCTCGGCAATCGGGTGTGCGCTCTGGCAATCGCCATCGGAGCAACCGCGACGACGACGACGACGACGACGACGACGACGACAACGCGTTTGTACACGGTGTTACCGCGACGGCACAGCGCGCGCCTTGTGCCTCGCCTCGCGCGCATCCTTTCCCCTTTTGCCACGTCTTCTCTCTCGTTTCTCTCTCGTCGTGGCCTTTTTTTTAAATTTTTTTTACTTTTTTCCTCTCCCTCCCTTTTTTCTGTCATCATCAACGTGTCCGCTCCTCGCGGAATCGCACGCTCCAGCTTCTACCGTCCTCCGTGTTCGAGCTCTCTGTGTCTCTCTTCGTCCGAGAAACGGGAGAAAACGAGGTGTTTTTAAATTTTGACGTTTCCGTCCGCGTTGCGGCCTTCCTCCATCTCCGTCTCGTTTTTCTGTCTCTCTCTCTGTCTTTCTGTCTATCTATCTCTCTCTTTCTTTCTCTATGTGTCTCTCTCTCTCTCTCTTTCTCACTCGCCTTTGACTGCGTGTGGGCGGTCGTGCCTGTGGAACGTCGTTAATGGAGGACCGTTTCCACAGCGGTGGCTGCTCTTACGGTGACTCTGCAAATTTGTCGTGCGAACATCGTGGAAATCGCGGCGCACGTTCGCACCGCGCCGCTACGTTCTCGCTGTGTCGTACTTGACATCTTCCGCGCATCGTCCGCGAGTCGCATTCGGCATTTCGCTACGAAGCATCGCGATTGTCATCATCGTCACCATCGTCGTCGTCGTCGTCATCGTCGTCGTCGTCGTCGTCGGAAAGTCACCGCTGTCGACGTTGTCGTGACGCGCGCTGCCACCATTGCCGCTGCCATCCGCGCGCAGTACGACGGCGCCCACTAGGATGTGGCGCATCGGTGAGTGTCACGCACGCACGCACGCACCGCACCTCTCCTCGCCGCGTGAGGAGGTTGCGGGTCAAGGTCGCCGGGCAAGCCAGCCAGTCAGCCAGCAAGCGCGAGCGAGCAAGTCGGGGCCGAGCCAACGCGCAGGGCTTCCATCTGTCAAACAGCTGTTTGCCTTCCGCAAATCACCACAGCTTCCCGCTGCGGATCTTCTTCCTGCTTTCTTTTTTTTTTTTTTTTTTTTTTTTTTTTTTNTTTTTATGGCATACGAGATATTNGCGCGACTGNAGTTCAGNNNTNTNNTNTTNNTNTNTTTTTTTTTCTTTTCTTTGCCTCGATTGTATCGACCGTAACTACCGTTTAGTTTTTTTTTTATTATTTTTTTTAAGTCTCTCTTTTCTGTTTTGTGTGTTTCTTTTTTTCACAACACGGCACTCTTTTTCGCCCCCCGTGTGCGTGACACAAATGATCTTTTACGAGGGTGTTTAACCTTTTATTCGATGAGTAGGGTGTTTGTCACAACTCCGACTGTGCTGCGGGTTTTTGTGTTGACACACGTTTTTAAGGTTTTTTAGGCGCGATTTTTTACGGCGACACACCAAAGAGAGTTTTTATCTGGGGAATATTTGAGAGAACAAAAAAAAAACACACACACAATAGTAAAGTTATTTAACCGTGTCTCTTGCACACACAATTGCCAACATCACAGGTTCACGACGTTCGCCACGTCGATCTTTTTTTTTTTTTTTTGCCATGACGTCCGCCTGTTTAATCTTGATGACATCGGACATTAGTCACTCATCTTGACCGTGACCGACTCAATTGTTTTTCTTTATTCGTGACATAATCAAAATCGCCGTTTAGAAAGCGCGAAAGTAATTTCCAAAATACGAATCAGAGACTAATTTGAGATCATTTTTTTTTGACGGCAATAAAAGAGATTGGAATAATAGTTTTATCTTAATTGTTTTTTTTTTTTTTTTGCGACGCAACTACGTAAAATTTTTCTAACATCCTTAGAATATTGTTTTGGGACAATTATTTAAAACAATAAAGTTTTTTATGAGTTGTTGTTTATATAAGTTGGTTTTAAAATTTATTTATAAATGTTTTCTCAATTCTGTCGGAATGAGAGAGAGAGAGAGAGAGATTAAATTTCTTTAATGTGTGAAAAGAACTCGTAAAAAAATTTATATTTGTAAATTAACACACAAACAACGCACAAAACATATCCGGATTTCACTTTTAATATTTATTTGTAATTTATTATAATATATTTACTAATAATCGCAGTTTTCTTCGAAAATTTTCTCATTTGTAATTTTGTTGTAATTTTGTTCGGTTGTAAGATCGAATAATTTCTTCAAAACATTTAACTTGCGACTGATATAAACTAGAAATTTCAATTTTATGCGAGCAAATAGATCGATCCTAGTTCAATTGATAAATTTTCTGCTGACAACGTGTTGCATAAGCGGCGAGACAGTGATAATATATTTCTCGCGTTATAATAAATATGTAAAATTTTAGATTTAATCAGAATCGCGGATGAAAACAGAAAATCAGAAAATATTGCGACACCTTTTTTTCATATTTTACATTCATGATTTTATTTGGAATTTTATTTTTAACGCGTTAAAAGAAAAAATATTGGAAGAAGATGTTATTTCAAATGTTACTTTTTTTTTTGTTCTTAAAAAAATGTTTATCAATACCCGTTTATAGAAGAACTTGTAATATGTAGGAAGTGATTTGAAAAATAAATTCATGTTTGATTTTGCAGGAGGAGATGGAACGTATCACCTCAAAGTGTTGGTTCCCGGGGTGGCTGCTGGAGCCATTATTGGGAAAGGTGGCGACACAATTGCTCAACTTCAAAAAGATACAGGAGCACGGGTGAAAATGTCTAAATCGCATGATTTTTATCCGGGTATATATTTAAACTTTTATGCCTCTCTTTATATAGTTGTTTGTTTGATTTTTTTTTTTTTTTAATAAAGAAACGAGATTTTATTTGTTTTTATTACAGGAACTACTGAGAGAGTGTGTTTGATTACTGGCAGCGTAGATGCCATTATGGAAGTTATGGAGTTTATCATGGATAAAATACGTGAAAAGCCAGAACTTTCTGTAAAAACTACAGTTGATTTTGATTCTGGCAAAGCTATTGCGGAGAGAGACAAGCAGGTAAAAAAGAGAGAGAGAAAGAGTCAAACGATTTTTTATTTTTTTTTTTATTAACTTTATATTTTGCGAGAAAATTTAGTATTTAAATTTTAAGATTCAGTAAAATATTTCGTAGAAAAGAAAAAAGTAAATTTATTACATATATAATATTAAGTTTTTATATTATTTATAAAAAAAGTTTTTTGAGAAAGCTACAACGCGTCTCTCTTAATGAAATAAAAAATAATAAAATAAAGAATTTTTATTTATTTTATTCTCGTAATAAAAATAAGTTTGCGATCTTTTAACACAATTGTATGTGCAAATTTTTTTGTTACGTATGAACGTGACGCGAATCAACTTTTTTGTGTTTCAGGTAAAAATTTTAGTACCCAACAGCACTGCGGGGATGATAATCGGGAAAGCGGGAAATTATATCAAGCAGATAAAAGAAGAATCTGGCTCGTATGTTCAAATTAGTCAGAAAGCTAAAGACCTGTCTCTTCAAGAGCGGTGCATAACGGTGATCGGTGAAAAGGAAAACAATCAGAGAGCGTTACAAATGATCCTGGCGAAAGTGGCAGATGACCCGCAAAGCGGCACTTGTCTTAATGTCAGTTACGCGGATGTGAGCGGTCCAGTCGCAAATTACAATCCCACAGGCAGTCCGTACGCTCAGGCGCCGGCGAGTACACCTACATACACATCTACAGCTGGTCTCAATACAGGTTGGTTTAAAGAGCTTTAATAAATGCTGATGAAAATATCTTCGGCCTCATGCGACGAGCAGAGCAAAAACTTTATTAGCATAGCATTATCAGCGATAAGATTACATGTCATTTACCGTCTAATAATATTCACAGATATAAGACTTTTGTAAGTAAGTAAGCGCTTTTTCTTGATCTTTGATACCTAATTGAAATTTATAAGCGCGCGCGTGCGCGTAAATTCACATGATGTGAGAGAAACGTGAATTTCCTTGACAGTTTTTTTTTTTTTTTTTTTACTTAAAAGGAACTAATAACAATAAGTATATTTAGCAAAGAAACACAAATGTGTTAGTATCTTCTCTTGCAGTTACATCACGATTGAAGTTGGATCCACACATGCCCCGCGCGCATAACTCGCGAATTAACGAAATAAAATTTGTCTCCGCGTTTCCGATCCGGGGTAAAAAATATTTGTTGTGTGATTATTTGTTCCACTTTTTTTTTTTGTAGTGAGTATCTTGAACGGTGCTGGTTTGAGTCTTAATCTGAATCTGGGCGCGGCTATTACCGCGGGCACGGCGCCGGTGACGACGCAGCTGCTCGAGCACATAAAGCTGAATCTACGCACGTCGGGCTTCACCGAGCCCGCGGCTGCGGAGATACTTACGGCAATCGCGACTCTCGCCAAGTACAACATCCTCGGGATGGGTATTGGGATGCCGTCGAGTATGAGCTATCTGGGAAATCCGATGGACAGTACGACTACTGCGAACGGCTCGAACAACAACGGCGGTGTGTTCGGCCCGATCGGGACCGTGCCCGCGCTCGGTTCAACCTCGCCAACGCCGCGCAACACCCTCGATCGTTACGAGCCGTTCGATCCGTTTCGTCAGAACAACACCGCCGCCAACGCGATACATCTGAACAACAATTCGTTTGGCCTGGGCACTAACCAGTTATCACTTGTAAGTAAGAGTCCTACACAGGTAGACGCCAACAACAAGGAGACCAAGAAGTTAGACATAGAAATTGCAGAGGTTATAGTGGGAGCTATTCTGGGACCCGGAGGTCGTGCCCTCATTGAGATTCAGCACCTAAGTGGCGCCAACATACAAATCTCTAAGAAGGGCATGTTTGCCCCCGGTACCAGGAACCGCATAGTAACTATCACGGGTTATCCCAATGCGATCAATACTGCTCAATACTTGATCGAGCAGAGGATCAGCGAAGAGGAGGCGAAGCGAGCGCGTCAGAATGCCATTGCCAGTATGATCCATTGATTTCAAGTGTAGCAATTTCTCTTGTCTATCTCCATTATTGAGCTCCGTTGTTCACTTCTTCACAATTCGGAGAAGACAGAGCATGTCCGGAACAAACACGGCGGTTCTCTTCTCTCCTCTATATATATATATATATA